TCCTCGATTTGACATAATATCTAAAATCTGTCACAGACTTTCAGTGGCAATTTAAAATCAGTTGGTTAGAACTTCTCTACCTGTTTGTGCTCATTCCCCTCTTCCCTATCCACACCCACAGTATCACCACTCATGTGAGTTGGTTCCTAAACTGCCATACTATTCAATGTTCATAATTAGAATTAATCCACACAAAATACAGGACTGAAAGCTGTGCTGCTTTAATAATTTGACCACATATCCCTAACTGAGGGGAAGGTAACATCTGTTATGAAGGCTGAGCCTTTGAAAGCTGGCCTGACAGTCTTAGCCTTCCAATGCAGCCCTTGCTAGTGTTTGTCGCTGCCCTCAATAGTCCATCAAAATCTGCAGCGTTTATGCTTGCAACAGACAAGGATGATGAAAGCTCTCTCTACCTGTGAGGTACTAAAATTGAAAATATGTTGCTCATTCCTCACAGGAAGTCTGTGGTAAGAATGATAACTGAGTGCAGATCTTTCCACTTTCAATCAGGAATTTTGAACAAAAGATCTTACTTCCTCCCTGAATACTGTGTGCTGATACTTTAGACATGCCTTTTTTTAAAAAGTAGCCAGAGCATGTGCTGCTGATGCTTAAAACCATGGGCATTTCTCTCTGTACCTATGGACAGAATTCTCATCAAAATGCAAATCTTAGAGGAACAAGACCATAGTAAATGACAGTGAGACAATCTTAGAGAAAGCTCAGGGCTTGATCCTACATTGTTCAGTTATGTAGTGCTGTCAAACAAGCAAATTTAGAAGCATCTGAGACCACCTGTTCCGATGCTGCATAACAAGGAGTCCTATGGACTGACCATGGAGCTCTTCTTGGCGAGTGGCAGTACAGCGATGAAAAAGGGAGCACATGGCAAAGCTTCTCAGCTGTACACAGGGGATTATGCTCAAGGCTATTTTTCTTCAGAATACTACTCTTTGTTCCATTCCCTTCTATCTTTTTGCTTAGTGTCCTTGAGAATGATAACACAAGGGGACCTGAGACTTGGATCAATTGACAGAAGACAATCTCTGGTATATAAACCAACCGTATGCACATGTGGCCAACTTGTGTTGCAGTATAACAATTCTGCAGCTCTCTGCTTCTCACTCTTGGCCTAATCCAAACCTAAATGAAGCCAGTGGAAATCCTTCCACTGACTTCAATGGGCTTTCGATCAGGGCTCAGGAAAGGGACTGCCTGGAATAAAGTCTTACTTTGAATGAGGTAGAGAGAGCTCAAATTACAAAACATCATTACTACTTACAATATATACTATAGAAAATGTACTAATATACTTTAATGTATGGTTTTAGATAATGTTCTTTGGAGATTTCCATTAATTGTGTCTATGATGGTTCTTGTAATGTTTGTTTAGCAAGAATTAATTTGGTTCTTATATGGCACAGTAAGTGGAAAAGAAACCCTCTGTAATCCTTTTAACTGACTTTAAATGCTCATTTGAATATAATTATTTTAAAGGATTAATAAAAAGTATTTTTTGAGTTAGCAACAAATTAAAAGTTTAGAAAAAAAACAGGTTATTGTATTGCCTTTACATCTCTATTTAAAATCATCCTAATTTTCCTTTCCAACACTATTTCATTGTATTAAAATATAATCATGCTAGAAAAATTTCCCATTATGTTAGCAAAAATGAATACAAGGTAGATAGTATACTAACACAATGACTGTAATCTGCTAATACAATAAGGCCTCCCTATTATGTTTAAATATGAATTTAGTTCTTGATCATTTCTACCTATTTCCAAAACTGTCTCAAAATAATAAAATGTAGCGTATTTCCGTGTTTAAGTTTCTCATGTCCTCATTTACTGCTAAAACCCAAGAAATAGGTAATAATGCATAATTTATGTTGTAGCAGACTCCATTTCTGCACTAGGAAAGCGTATATTTTGTGCACGGCATGTACACAGCCGCTTTCTGTAGCTTTTCTGGTATCTGACAAATGTGACCACTTCTGTTACAGTTACTCACTAGAGAGTGTTTCAAAAAGAATCCAAGCAATGCTGAGTTTTGTAGATCACAATACTTTTGCCCAGGAACTCTCAGTGCTACTATATGAAAACAAGCAAAGGTGTGGAAAAATGCTTTGTTCAGGCTTGGTAAAGTGCACACTGCCAAATGTGGTGGTGGTATTAAGAGTCCATCCTAAATGGTACCAGGAGTTCAAATTGCACCAGAAACACAGTTGTCCAAAAGAATACACGATACATTCTTCTCAGGCAAACTTGCTTAAGACTACCCCAGGACAGTATGAACTAGAAGTACCATGGTGCTGCACACTAATATTGGGTTACTCTTCAGTAAACACCATCCCCCAGAGCTGTTTTCAATTCCTGAACAGACTGTGCTTTGCTCTACAGAGATTCACAGCAAGAGCTTCATATTCCTGTTGCCACAAGACAATGCATTTCACAAATTAAATTATACAACTGGGACCAAAAGTAGTTTCTGTAAATATCTAACAGCAGAAGGTAAAGGTAGAAAACAAAGATATAGAGAAAATCCCCTAGAACTTGAAAATTTGTAAGATATCCCAAAAGATTCAAATTAAACTTGATGTTACATCTAATTGCAGTAGGCCTTCCTTCTAAAGTTCAAGCAGTTTTTAATAATAGCATCAAAAATATCTAACCTGTAATTACTGTGTTGCACTAGTTTGATGTTCCATGGGAATCTCAGAGGCATGACTCGTTTCATTCATAAGAGTTACTGTCTGGCAGGTCTCCAGAACAGGAATTCAAGTGAGAAAGGAAGTAAGATCAGTTGACAAAAGGAAATAAATCAGATTATTTGAATATTTGCTCAACATGGAACAGAAAATTGGCATGAGAATTCAAAACTTAATCAAGTCTTGGACACAATAGCAGCCCTCACAAATTTGATGTAGGGACAGCAGTGTTGGTCACAAGGGCATTCTCCCTTCTCCTTTCTTCCCTAGTTAAAAAGACTCTACACAGTTTCAACAAAAAAACCCAGTAAATAGCCAACGATTTATTCTGTACCTTCAGCAATCACTGATATTTTGAATACGAATGCTTCTGGATTGCTGAAAGGCAGGGAGGAGCTCTTTCCACCTTTTTTTTTCTCATGGAAGAACCTGTGTGAAGTCAGAATTTGTTGTGGGAGAACTGGAGAATATCCTGATATCTGGCTCTTAAAATTAAAAATACAATGAATTTGTAATTATAAAATGAAATGCAGGTGAACATTTGAGTAGTTGTCTTCACTACCAGTGTCAATTTGTGCCAAAAATTAGCTTGTGGATACTAAATAAAGAGCACATCAGGATTCAAACTGTCACAAAATTAAACTTGCCCTCTGAAAATGTATCCCTACCTAACATATAAATTACAGGTCAGAAAGATGTCATATATCCTTCAGTTTTTGGGGGTGTCCTTAAATTAGCTCACATTAAGAAAATATCATGCAGTCTAATGGTTTAACATCTTGTTAGAAGAAATGGCAATGAATATCCAATATCAATACATTTATCAATTACCACTTATCTGTATACCAAATACAATCAATTATTAAATGTAAACAAAATAAATCTCTTAAAAATTGATTTCCCAGATGAGAGGAAAATCTAGTTTAGCAAGCTGAGTGTGAAATTTACATGTAGTTCATGAAAAAGTGATTACTTACGGAATTAATTGATTTTAGAAATGAATTTGAGGATGTAAAATTATGGCATAAAAAGGAAATGAATCTGAAGATCTGGTTTATGTCCATGAGAATGGTGTTTATTTTCCTCCTTCCATACACAACCAATCTCAGAAACTGTGATCCACCAAGAAATCCCTACTCAAAGCCATACTCCCTATTATCCATCTCCATAACGCTTTGACTTTTGCCCCTTTCTCATTCCGCTCACAGCTGAAGTTTGTCTACAACTGAGTCATGTCCTGATTTTGTGGCTGCACTTCCTTTATCAGAAGTCTTGATACTAAGATTCCAAGTTTTCAACCTGTCAAATTGTCACTCAGAAACGCATCTTCTTACAAATTATTTCAATCACAAAACCTCCCATCTTTCAGACACATTTCAGTGCTAGTGGTGAGTCTTATCGCTTCATCTTTTTCTTGCAGTTTCTCTGTGCTTCCCTTCCTGTTGCTCCTTAAATGCAAGATGTTCTCGCTGAAATATATCCAGGCTGCTCCTAAATACTTGTTTCGTGTCTCACCTATGAAGGCTGAAAGGACAGAGAGGTGTAAGAGAATCTGAATGCTGAATGCTCTGTACAGACTTAATGGTCACCATTGAAGTACCCAGAACTGTGCTATTTGGCTCAGAATTCTTGACGAGTTTCTAAGAGCTTTTGCACGTTCTTAGAGCAGTTTAAGGGAAAACAATCCACAATGAACAACATTGTAATATCCGGGACTAGTGTTTTTGAGGTTTTCTCTTTACCACATTAACCCAAGACACTATTGGGAACTTTAAAGGATTTTTCCATCCTTGAAGAGTACGGCTGCTGACCCCTAGCCATTCTGTCCCTGCACAAACAGTTAGGCATTGTATAAGTTACAAGGTTTACTTTTGGAACAGACGCTGTACTCCTTTATGGCAACTAGGATTGCTGTAAAATTTGTCACCTGTCTTTCTTCCAGAGCACTACTGTTAGTACTGACAAAACCGCCCCACTCGCTTGGGCTGTCAGACCCTTCTGGAGCCCTCCTGCGTGCGAGGAATTGGCTCCGTTTCCCCAGAGCGACCTCGCTGAGGGGAGGGGTCTGTGCGCCCACAGTCCCCAGGGCAGAAGGGCCTGCCCGGGGAGGCAGCACCCCTTCCCCTGGGGTGATGGGCCGGGGCCGGGGCCGGAGCCTG